GTGATTTCTCAGCTACAGATCTCTTATGTCGGTTAAAACTGTTTTGAGACTCCGTAAGTAGACTATTTAGAGCATATTCAAATTTTGTAGAAGAGTTTGGGTTATCTAGTAATTTATGAATCTTTTCTTTGTCCATTTTAAATAATTGATGAACAATTTTATTTTTAATTCTTTCACAACTCACTTTTCTTGGCTTAGGTACTTTCTTTTTTATTAAATTTTGATCATATTGACTGTAACTCTCTATGGTTTTAATGTTTTCATGCATATGACTACCATTATCCTTAATATCTTCATTTGTTTGGTGTGTTTCTTCTCGATTTAATAATCTCTTTCTTATAATATTAACTGTGTCATCAACAGACCTACTAAATGTGTTTGAATTTTCATTTGTAGGTATAGGATTGCCACCATAATGGTCCGATGAAGGTGGTCTATGACCAGCGTAGTCAGTTTGATGTTTATTATACTGATGTGATTTTTCATTATATGCATTCATGTAGTTTCTTTCATCACCATCATGATTCCAAGGGGATATGGTATGAATTCTATTTTGAATGATTTGTCTTTGATCAATATCACCCATGTTGTTTATCAAATATCCCTCAGAATTGTGAGAAGACCCTTTATAATTACTAGAGCTGTCTCCATGTTTAATTTCTTTCATAAAAGATTTTTGATGTGGTTCCTTATCTTTTGCTCTGGCAAAGGAAAATTGGGATTCTTGTCTATATCTACTCCATTCTTGGTCCTGATTTCTATGCTTATTTCCAATGTGAGGGTTGAAATGTGGTCTATGAGGCCTAGAGCCTAGCGGATATCTGTTGATCATTTAAAATGAGTTTAGTCTTTATTCTATTGTTGAAGCAAGTTTATATTATTTGGTCTTGATTATATGGGTAGGAAAAACAAATTATATGCACATAGTTATAAATACAGTTATGGCGGCAATGTATTTGTTGCAAAACAATAAGTTTGGGGGTTATCTTAAATAGTAAGTATATATTGCTGCTTTTTACCTGCTAGTATTTAGTTGGTTATAGTTTCTTTGAGTTCGGTATGGTGAATTACCACAGTTTCGCTGTCTGAACATTCGTGGGTTTTCATTACGCCATCCACCAATACCTTGATGACCTCGTCTCATATTGTTATGATATTAGCATACCTAAGTACCTAATACTACACTAGACACTATAATTATTTAAAACTACTCAGATTTCAACTGTACTTTGCAAAACAGCAACAATATTGCGAAATAAACAGTTTGATCAATTTTTTATTTGCGAGAATACAAACAGAATATTATCAATTTTGATTAATACGACAGTTGACAATTTTTGATATTCACCACAGATGTAAAATATTCACGGAGAAAATAAGCAAGTAATATTATTTTGTCTAAACCTACAAAGTTTAATTAATTATTAATCATTGTTAGTTATAATTGTGGTAAGATTGCTTGTCTAATTGGATTATGAAAATCCCAAATATATTTAAACAAAAAGAAAAATAATAAAACCACTGTCTTTCATCGGTAAGTATATAAAATTGTTCATGTTATTACAACTAATAAATAGTTTTATGTCGGTTTTGGTCCATTTTGTAAAAAATATCAGCAGTGTAAAATACTGCACTTAGTTAAATACATAGATTTATATCGTTAGATAGGCCCCGACACCAAAAACTGTGGCATTGTTTTTGAATGTGTGCGTTAACAAAATGCCGACACACGCACACTAACGAGTAGTTAAAAAATCGTGTTTCTGCCATTGTACTTATCTGTTGTTATTACCTATGTACTGAGAAAATAGTGTCATCTCTTTTTCTCCTACATTAGTTGCAAACACTACTTCCTCTTTCGTGCACTCGCCATTTAAATTTGTTATTTTAGACAGTGCGGAATGAAAAATAAAAGTCTTTAAATCAAATCGCAATACTTACGAGTGAAATGTTACACCTCTGGCTTTATTTGTGTTTCTAGAATTGTTGTTGCACTTTAGAAAGGCACACGATGGCATTTTGTGACACTAAACTGCTCGCAAACGTCCGGTTAACACTGTGTAGTGTGTTTAGGGGTGCACTGATCCCAGGTTAGTGAGCTCACTCACTTCGACTGTGGATTAACACGGCGCGGTCTCACTGCGGTAAGGGCCTATCTAACTATATTAATCTATGGTTAAATAACGTAAACAAGAGATGTTACTAATGATTCTCTAAGGATAGAAATGATATTAGTAGTTCTCTTCACCCGTCTCAACTAAGAAAACAATAGTATCTTTGTTTTTTGGAAAATAATTATGCATGCAGTAATTTTTTATCTTTATTTCTTTGTTTTATTTATCTAAATTATTTATTTTATTTAATTATCAAGGACTCAGGTTTTCGACATCCTTACAGCTTCCTTTTTACATGTGTGTAAACGTTAAACGTCACCAAGTGAGTTAGCCGGCATATTGTATATTTTTTTTTTTTTTTCAACAAAATCCCTAGTGAGATACAAGTGTTGTCAATAAATAAATTTAAATCGTACATTAAAGTAAAACTGCTTGCTAAGGCTTATTATAATATAAATGAATATTTAAACGATCCTAGTGCTTGGATATGAGTTGCTCCAGTATAAATAGGTAACGCGACTGAATCTATCGGCTGTATTTCCAGACTCTGGGGCGATCGTCAACATCCACGACTGTTTTAATGTAAAGTGGGAACAAACCGTGATCCATGTGGTATCAAATTATTTCAGTATTATTATTATTTTCTTATGTAGCCAAGTCCACATTTCAAGGATCGTCATGCTCGCTTAAATGTCATTGCTTGTGGCGGCGTCCATGCGTCGGGATGTCTCTCTCCCTAATATGTGGCGAGGGGGCCGATGGCTGGCCATGCGTCATACTCGTGAACGGGTGCTACTTGTGGTGACTGGTCGTACTTGAATTCGTGTATGCGGTGATGTTAATTATTTCGACTATGTGTTTGCGTGTTGTTCCCACGAGAATGTAAGTGCGTGCTCCTATTTCACCATGCCTCCTGCTGATAGAGGACAACTCTTTGTTTTTAATTTATGTTATTATTATTAATTACTTAAGATGTCATGTGGAACATGGTTTAATGGTTGCAGCTCCTTACAAACGTTGTGTAAAAAAAAAACATGGCGATTAAAAAGAGTGGCGGAGAGTTTATTGCCAGTTCTTCTCTTACGTTCTACGCCCTTGATTTGAAAAATGGCACTAAATGTAAAATTAGAATCATTAATATTATGTATTTCTTTACTGACAAGTCATAAGTGTACAATGTTTTACCCATATGATTAAATGATTAGAATTTTGATACATCTCAATAAGAACTAGTTGGTGACGTGGCCAGCGACGTTACCATGGCTACGTCTGGCGTCCCTGCGTCGCCAGACTGAGTCGCATTCAGTTCTGTCTCGACTCAAAAATCTAAATCAAAAATAAATTATCACTTATAATACCACAAGAGCTTCAAAATTATCGGGTATTTCCCGATAGGTTCGTTGCAAACAAATGAAGGAGTCAAGTTTTTCAAAGATCCAACGTTTTTTGAAAAACTTGACGACTTTATTTGTTTGCAGGGAACCTTGAGGGAAATGCCAGATAATTTTGAAGCTCGTGTGGTATTCGGGGGATTATTTTTCCGACCCAAATGTCGGCCAATAGAATTGCACCATGAGACGAAATGTACAGTTAACAAATAAGAATTTCATAATGAATAAAACAACTACTTAATACTTTTCTTGAAGCAACTACCAGAGAAAATTTTCAAAAAATTATCAGTATAATACCATGTAGGTTGTACCACGTGACGTCGAATGGTGCAATTCTATTGGTCGATATTTGGGTCGGAAAAATAATCAATAAAATAATAATTATTATTTTATTTTATCGTTTTAAATCAAATTCATTAAATCAAGATCATTTTTTACGTAAAAAATAGATAATTAGGAGAGCAGCCCTGCGATTCTGTAACTCACTTTTCGAATCGCAGGGCTGGAGCCCAATTAAATTACTAACAATTTCTTTCAGGATAACTAAGTAAAAAGCGTAATTAAGAGACTGAAAAAGCAAAAAAAGTGCTAAGGTGTGCTAATTCGGCAACTTGTTGGCGACTGAGTGTGTGACGGAGCATACAAACACGTGCAAACACCGCCAAGTGAGTTAGCCGGCATACATCTCAATAAGAACTAGTTGGCGGCGTCGCTGGCCACGTCGCCATCGCGTCTTGACTTTTTCTGCATCACACGAGTACCTACCATCGCGAATTTTTCTAGACATTTCGACATTGTTCTAAAAATTGTTAGGCTCAGAATAAAGTTACTTCAATATAATAGTTAAAATATTGATAACAAATACTTACTGGTTTAATTTTGGTATTGATCGGATCTTGCAAAAAAATATGGTATGTACATTTTATTTTATTTTTTAATAATAAACGGCTCAAATATAAGACTCTTGGGCCGTGGGGTAACAGGTGCTAATTAAAGATTTAAGTTGGCGCCTGGTAGATAGTACCTACCGGTGACCCCAGAGCTAGTGCTTTCCTCACTTAACGAATAAGTATCACAATACAGCGAGGAAATGCTGCCAGTGGTAAAGGGACACTGCCACAGGGACCAACCTATTTAAATTTGTTTTAATTTTCTTTTTATTATTGTTATAAGAAATTTAATATATTAGAATAAAAGTATGAGTAAAAAAGTACCGCCACAACTTTTATTTATTAAAACAAATTGTTACATACAGCTAATATATATATATATATATATGGGTCAATACTTGAGCATGCAAAATTGGTATTTTCAGAATCATTTAGAACCGAGTATGAACATTGTTATGGATCAAGCTGGCAGTGTTCTAAACAATATGAGCTATGAAATACCACAAAACTAAACGCTTTCTCCTATAGAGTGATATCGACAGAGGAAGCGCCGTGTAAGAACTGGAAGAAACAGTACATGTCTACCTAATCCTAGGTATAAGCTATTAAAGTCCCGCTATAATTGACGTTGGATCTTCGACTCCCGATTTCACTTTCCGAAGGAAGAGAACAGCTTCACGTCCATCTACTAATCTGTGGTCATACGATAGCGCTAGGTACATCATAGGTCTTATTTCAACCTGAAAATAAATATACATTTTTTTATTTATTCATAACCACCTTACCACAGCGTAAAAACAATCTGGCAGAGATAAATAACTTTAAACTGTTAAGAGACTGTTCGAAAAGTGAGTTACTGAATCGCAAGGCTGTATTCAGTGTTGCGTCTTAGTACAAACCACGGGATTCATACGTTATTCATACTACTTATTTCACACATATTTATTTCCTATTTTTACAGTAACTTAATACTAATAATACATTAGAAAACTTATAAATAAAAAAATTAAACTAAAAACGTAATATAAACAAAACAAAACAAAAACCTAAATCTTTTTATAAAATAAAAATCAGTGGCGCTACAACCTCTTTAGGTCTGGGCCTCAGATTTCTGTTTCATGATCGTTTGTCAATCTAATAGGCAGTAGGTAATCAGCCTCCTGTTCCTGACACATGCCATCGACTTTTTGAGTCGGCAAGCCGGTTTCCTGACAATGTTTTTCTTCACCGTTCGAGCGAATTTTAGATGCGCACATAGACAGAAAGTCCATTGGTGCACAGCTGGGTATCGAACCTATGACCTCAGGGATGAGAGTCCCACGCTGAAGCCACTACAACCAACACTGCTCAAACTAATTATAAATAATTCTTGTGAATTCAGCCAGTAAGAACTAAATATATCCGTCTTACATACATGCAATAACATCCAGGGTGCGCAAGACACGCGTGGCGTAGGTATGTTTATAGTAGGAGAGGTGGCACCAATTTTTGGGCAGGTATTTGAGGCAAGCTGAAAACTTGTCACATACCTCTCCTATTATATTCCAACACGGAATTGCAGACCTGGCTGGTGAGCAGCGGGGCTAAATCAACCCCTACATTTTTAAAAATATTAATTTTTTTTCCCCAAAAATATATTTGAGGCAATACGCAATTTATATATGTTGCAGTTTAATACTTAATAAATACGAAAAAAAATAAGCCAGACAATTTAATCGGGGCTTTAACATTACCAGACGCGTGCAAATATTTTTCAAAAAATTATAAAAAATGTTTTTGAGGCAGCTTGAAATTTTAATGGAGTGTTATTTATAACTATAAAATAAAATTCCCAAAAAGACAGATCATTTTGGTAGGGCTTTCTACCTGCCAGGCGATCAAACAAATAATGGATGGGTACGGGCCTGTACTACTATAGACAAGCTGTAGTGTGAGAGAGAGCGCATATCGACAGCTGTCTTCGTTCTGGCTTGCCGCGTTACTATTGGCTCTAGTGAGGCCACGTGACGTACATCGATATATCCAAACTACATATTGAATTAGGACCATCTATATGTACGAGTTTACCTGGTTTTCATGCGTTAACAGGATGCGATTATAATCCATCATTTTTTCAAAAAGGCAAGATAAGACCATACAAAATATTGATTAAAAACAAAAATTATCAAAAAGCATTAGCAGATCTTGGAGTTGCGCATGTTACCAGTTCGCGTGATGAAATTTTGCCAGTCTTAGAACAATTCGTTTGCGAAATTTATGGATTTAAAAATACATCAAATATAAATGAAGCACGATTTCTTAAATTTTGTGCGACTTACAAAGCCGACACTGAAAATGAACCTTTCAGAAAAAAAATAAAAAATTGTGATCCCTCTACTTTACCTCCATGCAAATCTGAATTAAAACAACATCTTTTAAGAACGCAATATATAACAAGCATTTGGAGAAATGCATATTTACGATTCCCCAGTTCTTTGACACCTAATAGAAACGGATGGACACTTAATGAGGATACGCTAGATTTTCACTGGTTTGACGGAGAGTGTATGCCGCAATTAGTATTCGACGCTGTTGTTCACGAGGAAAATAAAAATAACGATGATGAAAATCATACTACAGGTGAGAATAAATGGTTTATTTTTAATAACTGCTGCATTCAAATTTCTGTGATTAATTAAAAAAATAAATATCTATTTCTTTTCGCAGATGATGAAGAGGTTGCCGAATCTGATACAGATGAATCCGAAGATTCAAGTAGTTCTGATGAAGATTCTGATCCACAGACGAAAAATGATAATTTATATCTGACGTGAAACGAATTTAATTTATTTCTAATTTTTTTATACTTAAATAATTGAAACACTGAAGAAATATTATATTTTTATAAATCTAGTTTTGCTATTTTATATTTTAATCATTGGTTTTTTTTATACGTAACCCTTATTAATTTTAAGATGAAAAAGGTTTTAAATTTCCGTATAAATTTTGACTTGCAATAATGTCAGAGAAACAATTTTTAGTTTTGAATGTAGGGGCAACAGTATGAATTCTGTACTGAATTTTTTTTTAATTCTCTTCAAAAAATAAATATTTTTACGGAAATATCAAATATTTAACAATTCATTACGTTTAAATTCGCATTAAAATTGGCAAAATGGCTAATTTTTTAAGATAAAAAAGAAATCACAAAAATATCTCCCTTTAACGTCCATAAATCAATACAATCACTTTTATGCAAAATGTATTTAGTACAAATTCAGAAAATTTTATATTTTTTTACTCCGAAATTCTAACTAGAAACCTCATGGGTTATTGTAAGTCACGTGGCCTCGCTAGAGCCAATAGTAACGCGGCAAGCAAGAACGAAGACAGCTGTCGATATGCGCTCTCTCTCACACTACAGCTTGTCTATAGTAGTACAGGCCCGTACCCATCCATTATTTGTTTTATCGCCTGGCAGGTAGAAAGCCCTACCGAAATGATCTGTCTTTTTGGGAATTTTATTTTATAGTTATAAATAACACTCCATTAAAATTTCAAGCTGCCTCAAAAACATTTTTTATAATTTTTTGAAAAAATATTTGCACGCGTCTGGTAATGTTAAAGCCCCGATTAAATTGTCTGGCTTATTTTTTTTCGTATTTATTAAGTATTAAACTGCAACATATATAAATTGCGTATTGCCTCAAATATATTTTTGGGGAAAAAAAATTAATATTTTCAAAAATGTAGGGGTTGATTTAGCCCCGCTACTCACCAGCCAGGTCTGCAATTCCGTGTTGGAATATAATAGGAGAGGTATGTGACAAGTTTTCAGCTTGCCTCAAATACCTGCCCAAAAATTGGTGCCAGCTCTCGGACCATTACAGTCGTTCACTTAGTAGAAATCCCATCATAGTATGAGCGTATATCCTATATTTTTTCAAACTATTCAATGTTGAGTTTAAATAAATTGTTTAAATTCACGTCTAAATCCTATGCAGTTATCTATCACTGAAGTGTAACGTAGGCATCACTAGCGTAAGGTAAAAACAATTGAAATTCAAACTATTAATTTTAAAATTCGACCAAATCCTATTCAAACTCTACGAAAATTATTACCTTTCCATTTATTGCGACTGGTCGTTGGAAAATCGCATGCATGCCCAAAATTGCAGATTGAGGCATATTAATTATAGGCATGGACAACAGCGAACCGAATACACCTCCGTTACTAATTGTGAATGTCCCTCCTTGCATTTCCGATAGTTGCATTCTCCCTTTATGTAGAAAAATAATGTATTCAAATTTATAATATATTAATAATAATAATGTAGTACGTAAAAAAAATATTAATAATATAAGATAAAAATATCTCGGTGCATATAACAATATTTTATACAAAGCCAAAACACAAAAAAATAGAAGAAAACTGAAATTTAACATTAAACACAAGACCATTAATACTGTTACTGCTAAACAAAGTCTTCCCGCCTCTTCAAATGTTTCCTCAAATCCTCTTTGGTGAGGTGGAAAATATTTTTTTAAATTTATTTATTTACACTTCGTTGCATTACAATATAAAAATTTAACATAATTAAATGTAAAGGAGGGCAACTGGCGGCCTTATCGCTTTCGAGCGATCTCTTCCAGGCAACCACTGTGAGGAAAGAAAAAAATAATGTATTATATTAGATAAGGTAGGCAAGAAGTGCAAAAATACATATTATATATAGTTATTAAGAAGGAAAATAAAACTAAACAGGATCAAAAAAAAAAACAACATTCTCATAATAAGTGTCATAGAAACTTAAATAAAACTCGAAACATTGGCGAATTATGCAGGTAATTCTTGTTCATTTAACAGTATACCGAGGACTTGTATTTGTGAAAAACATTTACGAGTATAAATATAATCCTAATAGCTTTGATACAAAGACAACTACTACTACTCTATTAATTTGTTGACGTTTTTAATAAACCAAAGTATTACAGACCGGCTTATTTCAGTTTGGTCATTTGAGGCAAGTAATTAAGGCTAACGATAATACGCCGTGTCCGTTAATTACATCCCACTATTTATAAAAAAAAACAATAATAGCAGACTTAACTAAATCGTCTCTTTCTGTCAAATTGTGTGTACGTTGTTATGAAAAGAGACAGATGCACATCAAAGCGATACAATTAGACCAATCAATTTTTTTATGAATAAGTGGTCCACCATTCAATCTAAACAAATCTATAGTTACCCGCTCTTGCTTTCTCCGCGAGCGCGTTTATCGCAAGTTCGATGCGAGGGTAGTCCATCGATTCTACATTTCGCAACACAGGTGTCACTAAACCTTTTGGAGTCGCCACAGCTACAGATATATCCACATAGTCTCTATAAATAATAAAACAGATGGTAAGTGTACTTACCACCACTTATCGTATCACCTGTTATTCATAGCCAATTGAGGTAGACTCTTAATTAAATTCTTTCACACACCCACAACCACTCATGCTTTAGTTTTAATTTGTTCATAACTTTAGTTTAGTCTTAGTGTGTAGTTATCTCTTTGTAACGTTTAAAAACTCACATTACATATTTTCACTAAAAATCTCTAACAACCTCAGTGTCCTATGCTGATACAGAAAAAATAGTTTAATTAGAAGTTTGTGTTATATAGAAATCATAAAGTAAAATACAGTTCACATGTCAAAAGAAGAGACTGGCTGCCGACAACACAAGGAATCCTAGTGTGGGGACTAGTGCACTTCATTTTACCTAAATATCCGTGTATAATAAAGGTTTTTCTTTCTGTATTTTTTCTATCCACGGAAGGCTGGGATTTTACCACAGGACTTCTGCAGTCCTATTATAGGCACCAGCCTCTTATAAAGATGCATTAATTATTATTGTATATCTAACTCAGGACCCAGCTGGAATTGATAGGCTATTAGAAGTGATTGCAAATTTTCCAATTTTATATCCAATAAGCCGTATCTTAATATTGAAAAACTAACAATCAAAATAAAATGTACTTTTAGATACCACTATCATGTCGACACGGATAGACAAAAAAAAATAATTCGGCAATAAATATAGCATTTGTTACCCGGGTTAATGGTGAAAGAATTTTTAAAAGAAATGAGAAATTATCGTTGCGTCAACGAACACGTTAGGTCAACTTAAAAGTAATTGATATTTACAACCATTTCAAATATAAAAAAATGGGTATGGTTTGAACGAACCTGTAAATAACATCAGATCCAATGATAACAGCATTCAAGACGGGTTGGTCGAGTAAAGCATTTGCAGATGCTTTTAGGAACGGTGACATGAATGATAGTTTCACCCCCCATTTCTTCGTGAACGCCGCTAGATTCGCTTTGCGGAATTCCAGCAGCTTACTTAAAAGAAGAAATTTAAAACAATTAAAACGGGAAATCCAGTATTTTTTTAACGTACGAACGTAACGTATAGGTTCCTTCTGTGCTTGACACACGCCGTCGACTTTTTGGGTCTAAGGCAAGCTGGTTTCCTTAGGATTTTTTCCTTCACCGTTTGAGCGAATGTAAAATAGAATAGAAAGAAAGTCCATTGGTGCACAGCCGGGGTTCGAACCTACCTCAGGGATGAGAGTCCCACGCTGAAGTCACTGACACTAGTCACTGTTCATATAATATATAGATTATAAGTTATTCATATACCGTCACGTGAAAGTAGACGACTTTGTATTCAATTACAGTACTTATTATATTATTAAGGCGTTTTGTCAAAGATACCACAAATAGCACTCTACTTTTCGATACCTCATATCACATTCATTAAAGGTTGTCAACATAGCACACGTATTCTGTGCATCCTTCAGTCTTTCGGCGATGATTTTTCTCATTTTGTTCATCGGAACCGGATACTCCGTACGGGAGCCGGATATCATTTGCGTTGGATCGCCAAGTCTCTGTGCTGCCAACTGTAAATTTAATTAAATATATTTAAAAAAATCTTTCCTGACGTGCGATTCTATTAATCCGTGAGTTCACCTCGCACTAAACAACGCTCCCTTCGTTCCCCACTCAACTGACTGTTAAGCAATTTCTCATTACGTCTTGACAAGCGGAAGAAGCTTATAGTTTATTGTTTATCAGAATGCCAAGTCGTAAAATGACTGCTTCACGACTGATTTGAGCGCGACCGCCGCTGCGAAAACCGCTGTGAGAGTTCGAAAAGTTAGTTACAGAATCGCAAGGCTGTTTGCAGTGCCGAAGATATAATAAAAAATATTATGGCAATATGTAACTAAAAATCTTAAATTTACCGTTGGACCGGCTGCTTTTGCGGCTTTAGCTGGAGCTGCGGCTGGCGCGGCAGCAGGTCTTGCGGCAGCGGGGGCGGGAGCAGCAGCGGCGGGGGCGGGTGCAGCTGCAGCAGGGGCGGCTGCTGGTTTGGCAGGAGCAGCGGCTGGAGCTGGCGCCGCAGCAGGCTTTGCTGGTGCCACGCCAGTTACGTCAACCTGAAATTTTTTATTAAAAGAATAAAGATTTGGATGGATAAATAATAATTTCTACATTAATTACCTAAAAAAAAATATTCTAAATTTTGGTGTTCTTTACATTACAATAACATAATATATTTATATCGTTTTGAAAATAAAATCATCATCTCAGTTTCGAAATTAGTACCGCCTAACAGTCAATGCATGTCGTGTTACAGATTAGCTGAACTTAATTTATGCATATGAAAGTAATACAATTAACACAAAATAAATATTAAGTTCACTACCTTTATTTAAAATTATTTAATTTGAGAGCAGTTTATCGTATCGACTTGAACATTAAATATTTGACAGACAGACCCACGAACATTTTATATTAGATTTATTTTTCTTCTTTAGTTTTTGTTATAATTTACCAAACCAATCGGAGACAAACACAACAAATCAAAACTATGAAAATCTGTATTAGTCGTTCTCGAGTAATATTAAAAAATAGCCTTTATAAATTATTAATTAACATTAAAATGATTAGTCCCTATCTATAAAGTTGAAAATACCTGGAACAATGGCTGCTGAGATTTGACGGATTGTCCATTTTTAACGAGCATTTTAACAATCTTCCCATTGCCTGGCGACATAACAGGCAGAGCTGTTTTATCGGTCTCAATCTCCAGCACCACCTCATCCATTGCCACTGCATCTCCTTCATTTTTTATTAACCTTAAAACCAAAGAAATATAACCGTTCCAAAATAGCTATGCATTTGTACCATCTAAGGCACTGAAAATATATCCTTTTTACATACAATATGAAAATACATTCATAAACTAATGAATTATAAGTAAATAAATGACATAATATTTGCAACAACTTTTAAAATAAAAGTAGTTAAACCATGGATTTCCTTAAATACAAGAAAATAGCGAAATGTTAACTCAAACTCAAAATGTCTTTATTCATATAGGTAAACAAGTACACTTATGAATCGTCAAAAAGAAGTTAAATTAATTGTAAATTTACATTTACTACTAATTTAACTGTTACTACTTAGATAAGATAGCAAGTTGTTTGAATACTTTCTGACTTGGTTCCAATTTTAAATTACACTAAACGTAAAAACATACTCTATGATTATTAAATTTTTTAGGTTATATTTAAAGACTAAAAACTTAAACATTTCATTAAGAGTTTTATTTATCGAGGTTTAATATAAAATCTTATGGGACCTCTTTCTTGATAGGTCAGTCCGCGGTTGGCGGAGCTATGAACCGTACACAAACTCGTAGATAAACCTCATCCTTAATTTTTTTTAACTCTGCTGAAATAAGTTATAACTCACTTTATATCGCCACTAGACACCGAGTCTGGAAACGTCGGTGCCTTCACATCTTCGACAGCGAGCAGAAAACTGCTTGTATAGATATGCCTCTGGTTGCTGCATACCGGTATTTCTACGTTATCCCTAACAGTTTAAAAAATTAAACAGGACAGCTAACAAGTGTTTTATTTTTGGAAACAAACAAACAAACAAAAATCATTTATTCATGTAGGTAACACAATGTACACTTATGAACGTCAAAAAAAAAAGAAATATACATTAAATGCTTCTAATTTTACATTTACTGCCAGTTCTCAAATCAAGGGCGTAGAACGGAAGAGAAAAACTGGCAATAAACTCTCCGCCACAAAAAAATTCATAAGAATCGGTCGAGCCGTTTCGGAGGAGTATGGGAAGGAACATTGTGACACGAGAATTTTATATATTAGAAGATATACATTTCAAGAATAGATAAGAAACTTATACTGCTTAACTTATAACTTGTAAACTACATACCGACTGAGTTAAATGGTATAATTAATGGTTACTTGGGAAGTTTATAGGTATGAGTGTAAAATATTGGCAATATTGATTACCTTGAAATTTGAACCACAGATTGTCTTTCATGTTTGAGATATACCATGTGATACTGTCCTATACACCTTGATGTTGCTCGTGCGATCTAAAAACAGAAGTAAATAAAGCCTTGGTATTTTAATTTATTTTCGGTATTTTATTTTAATTATCCTTATACTTACAATTCTAAATAGTCTGCGTCTAATCATGTTACGATAAATATAATTTAATTAAATGTATATTTCTTCCAATAAAACATCTTTCAGTAGAAAATGTAATCACTGTCAATGTGAGATAATCTTCTTTTTTTTATGTCGTTGGTAATATTACGAAAGAGGATTTAATTATTTTATCTCCTAACCCTAATAATATATTTTATACGACCAAAACACTCTTATTTTCTGAACTTTACAGAATTATTCAATTCCCTTTATTTACGAAAACATTTTGTAACTATGGATGTCACAGCATAGTTTTGAGGTTGCTGCTATTCGATACTAGATGTCACTACAACATTAAAAAATGTAAATAAGTGTTTAACTTTTTGAACCTACTCATTCCATATTCATATGTTTTAAGTTTATAGATATTACAAAATTTAATGTAATTTTAAGGTTATTTATTTTAAAAATTATGATTTTGCAGGACAAGAAATTGATTCCTAACACCCAGTCTGTCGCACACTTATTAATTTGTAACTATTTATTTGTCAAGTTTAAATTAATTTTTAAACTAGTGTCATACTAAAGACGAAAATGTGAATGTTTTTGAGAATATATTGATGTTTTTAATCATACATGCGACTCATATCATGCAGTTGAGTTTCATTTTTTGATATGTTATAAATAAACTAAGAAGTTTCTCAAAAAACTTGACGAAGTTAAGTACATTATCGTTTTAGTTCTTATTCTAAGTTAGCGTTAAGTTAGGGGCCGCTCCATGGAAATAATTCAACCAAAAATAAATTAATTAAATAATTAATACAACACCAAAAATTTAAAAGAAGTTTATTTGTTCGTAATATTACTAAATATTATAATTAACTCTAGGTATGTTGAATACCATGTCAATAAAGTTTATTTAAATTAATATTATGTGCGTTAAAGCCTATTATTATTTATATAATTATATTTACTGCTCATGAATCAATAAAAACCAGATAACGTTAAAAGAAAAATGCATTACACCAATTGTAAGAGCTTTTCTTACTTTTGCTGATATGGGGGAGGAGGGGATAAATAATTGTAGTAAATCTGATTACGTAATACTTGAACGGCGCCTAATTTGTCTTGGTTCGTCGCAGTTCCGATTGTTCTAAAAACATATATGAAGTTCTTAAGATTTCTCGTATATGATTCTACAATAAACTAGTGTTTACTTATACGTCAATGTCATAGCTTTGACATCTAGACATTCCATCGTCATTGACCAATACATATGCTTTCAATAAAGCGACTTACAATGTTGTATGTAATCTATTTCTAACATGCTGAGATTAAAAATATTTGTAAATGCACTGGACGAACGAATAAAAAAAAGATTACGTTCCGTTTTATCTTCTTCATATGTATAGTGAAAGCGTGTATAGCGTAATAATAATAATAATAAAACAAAAATCACTTTATTTGACGAAAAAACAATTACATTTTGTACTTACATTCTAAAGGTTATAAACATACAATCTGCAACGAATCGTTGTGTTCTCACTATTAATTTTGGTTAACCTCGTACATAAAATAATTCACTAGCGTTTAAACTAGGCCTAGCCTGTATCTTAAACGCTAGTTCCTTCCAGTGTCTTTAACAAATTGGTAAAGTTGTTTGTCATAAGATGTTTATTCGGGTTATATTTTTATTGTTTATAAAACTAAATGAGGGTAGAATCTAAAATCGCAATGAAGTTTAATTTAATTCGCAGTTAGTATAATTTGGAAGAGATTGCGATTCGAACCTTTGATATGTCGGTCTTATTCCCCTTGACACAATTGTACAAGAGATATACTGTTATTACGTAAATACACATATTGATTGAAATGAGCAATCGATAGACGCGGCCCGTTTAGGGACGCATAGATTCCTAATCAAAGATGCGGGCTGCACGAATCTTAGCAAATTAGTAGGGGAGAAGTTACCCCTGCCACGCCAGGGTTGGCAATCTCTTTAAGAGTTTATTAAATGACGTATATACACTTGGATTGGGGTAAATGGTTTGCACTTTAAAGAGCGAATTATTGACTAATGTAAATAAAAATACTGACTAGTGTTTAGAGAGGGAGGGGATATTTATAAAATATTTTGTTGCATCGTTGTTTGAATTACTGTTTCGTATTTATTTAATAATATAACCCACCATTACAGATTAACCCAATGCGGTGACTTATATTTACATCACATACACAGAAAAAAACAAAACATTCAACAGTAGATAATAAATTAAAATATTTACAAACAGACTATGTTTTATATTTAATTAAAAACGCCTTTTGATCTATTCAGTTCATTATGTTATGTACTATATTTTACTTGTCTATATGTTTATAATTTCCATGGTATTAATTACCTATACTTGTATTACTTATTTATCATAAGTAATATACTTGATTCATTGTAAATATATATGTAAAAACCTAATCTATTTATTTATTTACATTTCGTTACCTTATACAATAACATACATATAAAATGCAGGTTACATATTAGGCAACAGGCGGCCTTATCGCTAACAAGCGATCAATAAAAAAAAATACACCTACAGAGGGTAAAGTACAAGAAGTGCTTAAATAAGTCACAAAAAAGAACATAAATTATATATAACATGTAACACTAACATAAATTTTGTATAATCTAAAGAAAAATGAATAATAATAAAAACAAAAATGTAAAAAGTATTGTCTTTTATTGACATAACTTTCACACATTTGATAATAAAACAATTTATAACGATTGAAGTTATATATATACAATTATTTATCTTTACATAATTTCAAATTTAACCGACGTATCGCGTCTTTACAGCGTGCGTGGTCACGGTGACTGAAGACAAAAGGTGTTGAATGTCAAAAAAGTATCACAGCTGTAGAAAAAGTTGTACTATCTGTATTTGTTTCCCCGGAGTTGGTATCGACTAAAAGATGGAGGGTTTTGGCAGAAATGGTTCACGTATTGGCAGAAATAGAGGACACCGTGACCACGCACGCTGTAAAGCACGCGAAACGTCGGTTAAATTTAAAATTATGAAAAATAATTGTAAATACATAACTTCAATCCGGTAAAAAATAGTTTTATTATCAAAAATGTCAAAGCTAATCCAAGGGTTAATGAGTCACAATTAGATATATATATATATATATACCAAAAAGACAACCCTAAAGTGGTCAAGAATGTAGTACTATCTTGAGTGGTCACTAATGTTCACTCAAAGACCTCTTAACTACATCTCTACGGCAAACAAGCGGCAGACGAAGGGTCACTTAACAACTATACATATAATGGTGATCATTCAATTACGTTTACGAAGATTAATTCAAGATCCTATTCCATAGTTTAGTTATATCTAATATAACTTATACACTATACAACTTGAGTTTGCACAGGCCTCTAGCACTAGCAGGTTTTTTGGTCTCTTCTTCGAGATTCCAGTTAAATACAAGAACGCATTTATAACGCGCAAAACGTTTTAAATCAAAACTTGCTCCTTATGAAAATACTATAATCGAAAACGTACAAAAGAAGTTCATTAGAACCTTATATAAAAGAAAATACAGTCCTTTACCCTATCAAGTATTTTATGGGGATTTTAGATTATGACTCACTATAACTTCGTAGAGATTAGGTTTACTAAATATTGTTTGAAGATACAACCAGACAGAAAGTGCATACATGCTAAAAAAAAAATTAATAAACTAATTTAATAAAAAAATATAAAAATCAGTGGCGCTACAACCTCTTTAGGTCTGGGCCTCAGATTTCTGAATGTTTCATGATCATTTTTCAATCTAATTGGCAAGTAGGTGTCGATTTCCTCACGATGTTTTCCTTCCCCGTTCGAGCGGATGTTAAAATGCGCACATAGAAAGAAAGTCCATTAGTGCACAGCCGGGGATCGAACCTATGACTTCAGGGATGAGTCGCACGCTGAAGCCTCTAGGCCAACACTGCTCATACTTGCTAGAAGAGATTTTAAAACTGTAAGTTCCGGACAATTCCACCCGTATCACCTCGACATCCGTCGTACCACAATTGTTTAAGACAACTTTTGAGCGCGCACCACCAGCTGATGTATTTTCGAACCATTTCGACTTAGGGTCCTTCTAGAAGAGCGTATTTCGATTTAAACAAAAATTATCACCGCAGCCGGAATCATAACTTTTTGCTTTGTACTTTACTCGTACAGTCCAGCATAAGTAAGTTTCCCGTTTGCTCTTACAGCTTAACAGTTTTCGACTAAATTTGATTGTAAATAATCATTTATGAGAACTAAATGAATTGTAATACCGTTTTTTCATCTTCACTAAAACTCGATGTAACTTAAATAAAATTACAAGTTTCTTGTCCATGAACTATATATTTTTTGTTCGGTTATCATACACTTTAATTTTGTACATATATTCAACTGGTATAGACAATATTTTTTTAGATATAATACACGTCTCGTCGGTGTAGGCTAGTTTGCGTTGCCGACCTTTGAGGGAGTACACTCTAACTTTGAATAGTTTAAGGTCGTCGCTCAGGGAAGGCTCCCACTGGGACTCGATTCCACAACTTAAAAGGCTTTCAAATGTTTCAAAGGAAAATAAAAAATAAAACTATGAACTGCCTTCAATATACATACTGAAATCTATGTAGTACTTTCGTGGAATTACATAAACATTTATTTCACGTGCTTGGGGACTTATGATTATTTTTATAAATGTTAGCCTTTTTTTACAATATCCAATTACCGGCCAGTACTAAAAGATATAGCATAGACATTAGGGTGTTTACTGGACCATATCATAAACATTATAGTGTTGCAAGCAAAACTACGATGAACTTCGTAAGCAAGGCCGGACCGGTAAGTTGCGGACTTAAGTTATTAATACTTGGACACATTGTTATGAAACAGCTTGGTGAACTTGAACACTGATCGATAATTGTAAATATATCTTTAATTAATTATTTTATTAACTATCGTTATAATCCTTTATCAAAGACTAGGTAAACTTTGTGT